CTGCTATATAAATATTTTAAGCTACAAACATGTAATTAAACATGTATTTGAAATGAAAAAATAATATATAGGTATAATATATATATATTGAAGGTTGATTGTTTTTTTCATTATTTATTATCATTTTATTGTCAATTTATTATTTCAATAAACATTTATTTAACAAAAATAATTTTAAAATCATTCAACATCTGATTATAAATTAAATTAACAAAATACGAATTATTAATTTTTTATAAATTTCTTACATTTACTATACACTATTTTATAACACAAATTTAAATAAATATATATAATATCATGTTTAAAATTAATTTTTCATTTAAAAAAATTTATTAGAATGGAAACTGAAATTATAAAATTAAAAATTATAAAATTACTAAATTCAAAAATCAGTTAATTAAATCATAATGCAAAATCAATAACACGATACGAAAGCCGGGACAATGACTGGCGTTCCATCCACCCAGTTTAACAAAACTATTTTTTGATTCTAAAAAAGAAAATAAAGAAAAATGACTAATAATATTAAATAATAAACATTAAAAATTAAATTAGAAACAAGCAATAAATAATATGGCAATAATATAATAAAAAAATTAAATCGATAAAATAGAATATATTACATTTAAAAATTCTAAATGAAAAATCTTGTTTAAATATCAAAAGATATTTAAAAAATTTCAAATGAATATTTAAAAAAAAAAATAAATGTTATAATTAAACTAATTTTATTTATTCTTATAACTATTAAACTAATTTTATTTATTCAACAATTAATAAATAATAAACAAATAATATATTTTTGTATATTTATAATTTAAATTTGTAATTAATTAAATATATAATATGTGTACAAAAAACAAAATATGATGAAAAAATTATGAATAAAACATTATGATCTTTGTACCAAGTAAATTTATATACTTACAGAATCAAAAGGAAGACAGATTATACGTACTTGTTGAAAATACACTAAAAAACAGACAGAAGAAAGTACGCAAGAGAAGTATCAGTCACGACCGACGAATTATGTTCGCCGCAACAAAGATACTCAGCCAGCAACTGACTTGACTCGCTTGTTCTTTTCAGTTTGTGTTAAGGATCCCTCAGGACTTCCGACGCATGCGCAAAATCTGATTCCACCATAGAATCAGGATTGTGTATAGAATGCAATATTGGTGGAGAAACATTATAAGATTTATTTATTTTTTTATATTTATAATTGTTTATATTAATTGTATTTATTATAAAAATTATTTAAGCTATTAACATTAATTTTTATATTATATACTATTAATAATGATAAATATCATATAGTAAATAAAAATTTTTACGATAAATATAACAGATATAATAGATATCTTTAAATTCATACGGCCCTGTATAATTTTACAGAATATCGCGCGTGCGCCGTTTTAATAAGGGGGTCGCGGTCGTGAACGATAGAGGATGTAGAAAGAGGAAAAAGTGGGGAATAAGCATACATCGAACTGTCGACTTTCCGGAAGACAGTGAACCGCAGATCGACGACCCTATCTTTGTGATTGCTGTTTTTGTAATGAAACCTCATATACATTCCATTTTTTTATTTTAATTTATCTATTCTTTATAATTATTATTTTAATATAATTTATGCTTTTCTTTTTTTGTGAAGATTTTAAAAAATTTTTTTTATATTATATATATATATATATATA